CCAGCGAGGCCGCGTGTGCCGGCTCCCCTTGCTCCTCCCCAGCGGCGGGGCCTGGGGCAGCCCCCCCTCACGCCGCACGGGGGTCGGGGGGACCGTCCCCCGGCCCCTGCGGATCTGGATGGGCCTGGGGCCCAACGCCCGGGCGCTGAGATCCAAGGATGAGAACAGGAGGCTGCGGGATCAGGGAGACCAAGGGCAGGCGTACCACGCAGAACAGAGGAAAAGGAAAGAAAGACGTCCAAAGCGCTGTCTCCAAGGAGGTGAGAACCCCACGCGGAGCGCCAGGGACGCCACGCTTTCTGTATCCACGCAGGCGCGGTGTGCGCAGTGCGCACGCAGCTCCGTCCGGGGGTTCGCGCACAGACAGCGACGCGGCCGCAGTGAAGGGCGTGAGTGCGGGCAGAGGTGGAGACGCAGGCCCCGCGCGGCGCCTCGGCCCTGGGCCGCAGAGCTGCGGGGTCGGGGCTACCCGCTCTCCTGTCCGTTTGGGCCTGGGGCCGCCCCCGGCCGCATCTGGGCCAGGGCAGGACCGGAAGCTTCCCCAGCCCCTGCCGAGGGCCAAGGCTGTGGCCCTTGGAAGAGGTGGACTGGGGGAGGATGGAAGCGTGGTCTGAGGACCAGAAATCTAAGCAGCTCCGCGCACAGAACAAAGACAGGCCAAACAAGCCGCGCGCCACACCGGGACGCTGGCCACACGGGGACGCTGGCCACACCGGGACGCTGGCCACACCGGGACGCTGGCCACACCGGGACGCTGGCCACACGGGGACGCTGGCCACACCGGGACGCTGGCCACACCGGGACGCTGGCCACACGGGGACGCTGGCCACACGGGGACGCTGGCCCACCACAGGGCAGCCTCCGCGCCCACCGCAGGGCAGCCTCCGCGCCCACCGCAGGGCAGCCTCTGCGCGGGCTCCGCGGCGCACCACTCTCGCGTTTTACACCCGCCCTTAAGAAAAATGGCACCACATGCAGTGCCAGCCTGGGGGGGAGGTGGCCAGTCCCACGGCGGTCCAGCGTGGCCCCTCGGGATTTCTCCCTGTGGAAATGTCCCTCCCCCCCATGGTTCTGCAGCAGGGCGGAGGTCATAGAGACAGAGGGCTCAAAGGGGCAGCTGCTGTGGCCCCAGGGCGGCCACTGCCCACCCAGCCTTCCCCCGGGAGTGACCCGGAGCTGCTCACAACTGAGAGTCGGGGGAAGTGGGGCACACCTGCACGTGTGTGTGATTCTGTGGGGGGGGTGCCTGCATGTGTGATTCAGTGCGAGCACCTGCGTGTGCATGATTCTGTGTGCATGCCTGCATGTATGTGTGATTCAGTGTGTGCACATGTATGTGTGTGATTCTGTGTGCATGCCTGCATGTATGTGTGATTCAGTGCGAACACCTGCGTATGCATGATTCTGTGTGCATGCCTGCATGTATGTGATTCCATGTGTGTGTACGTGCATGTGTGTGATTCTGTGTGTGCATGCCTGCATGTATGTTTCTGTGTGTGCACATGCATGTGTGTCTATGTGCTGTGAGCCCGTGTCCGTGTTTGTGATTGCATGTGTGTCTAGGAGAGTGTGGGTATCACACATGGACATCTGCACGTGTGTATGAAGCCGTGCTCGTGCTGGGGTGACCTCTTCTGTGGATATCTGGCCACTTTCCACCCGGAGGAAACGCCGACACGCGGCTGCTTCTCCCTGTCTTCTCTCACAGGGGTCTGAATGCTCCCCGCTGTCCCCGGCCTTGGCTTCCTGTGTGGACCCAGAGCCGACTCCCTGCCCCCGCCTGTGTCCAATGCCTGAACGCTGAGCTGGGCGTGGGATGTGGCTTCCACACCTTCGCTAAGCCCTCCCTAGGGCCTTGAGTGAGGGGCACCGGGCGGGGGGGAGGGCTCCGCTCTCTTTCCAGGAGCTTCTTCCTCTGATTGATTTGTCCCCACTCTCCAGAGCAGGGCCATGCAAGGTAGCGGCCCACGAGCCTCGGGGGTCAGGCCACAGCACAGGACCCCCGCAGGCAGGGCCCACTGCTGAAGCAGACCACTGCCAAAGCCGGCCGTGGGGGCCGGGCACTCGGGGAAGCCGGGCGCTCGGGGAGGCCAGGCACTCGGGGAGGCCGGGCACGCGGGGAGGCCAGGCACTCGGGGAGGCGGGGC